GAATCCTACCGAACACCGTGTTTTTGCAAGCATTTCAACATAAAAACATAACAAACCCAATGCTTTTTTCACAAAAGTGCTTTGGGGTGTCCTGTCAGACCGTCGGGCTTCCTCCGGCCACCTCTGGCTTCCTGCGGTGTACCGGGCCATTCTCGACTCGTCTGGCAATGCGCGCGCGGCATTCAACACGCGCTCGCCAGTTCCCGTCGGCAACCGCCAGCGCGGCCGCATCAGCTGTACCAAACCGGCTGGCCGGTGTGACTTCGGCCCCCAGTTGTGCCAGCTTTGCTTCTTATGTTGTGGGAGGGCGGGTGGGACTGGGCATGCCATGCTTGACTCGCTCGAGCTGGCTAGCTTGACTCCTACTCCTACTCCCACTCCTACTCCTACTCCTATCCTTATTCCTTATTAGAATATACTCCTACTCCCCCCTCAGGCCGGCAGATAGCGGGCGCATCCGGGTGGTCCCATCCTAACCTGTAAAAAACAATACAAAATCAACATTTTTCTTATTTTTTCCTCTCGACATGGACGTCCTGTCGTCCACGGCGATAATCCATTGCAAAAAATACCACAAAGAGCACACGCGCGCGTTCATGTCAGAATCCTACCGAACACCGTGTGTTTGCAAGCATTTCAACATAAAAACATCAAAAACCAAATGCTTTTCACAAAAAATGTACAAATTTCCCGCCCGGGCTCTCTTGCTGAAATCATCGGAAAACCATAGGAATCTTAAGAATTCGGTCGAATCCAGCGATTTCACGTCATCGCGCGGTGCACTCGCGATGCTCTGTCATGCACCCAGGCCGCGAATCCTGTGCAAAAAATACCACAAAGAGCACACTCGCGCGTTCATGTCAGAATCCTACCGAACACCGTGTGTTTGCAAGCATTTCAACATAAAAACATCAAAAACCCAATGCTTTTTCACAAAAATGCTTTGGGGTGTCCTGTCAGACCGTCGGGCTTCCTCCGGCCACCTCTGGCTTCCTGCGGTGTACCGGGCCATTCTCGACTCGTCTGGCAATGCGTGCGCGGCATTCAACACGCGCTCGCCAGTTCCCGTCGGCAACCGCCATCGCGGCCGCATCAGCTGTACCAAACCGGCTGGCCGGTGTGACTTCGGCCCCCAGTTGTGCCAGCTTTGCTTCTTATGTTGTGGGAGGGCGGGTGGGACTGGGCATGCCATGCTTGACTCGCTCGAGCTGGCTAGCTTGACTCCTACTCCTACTCCTACTCCTACTCCTACTCCTACTCCTGCCTCTCCTCCGCATTCCTTCCCTCCCCCGTCTTTATCCTCCCTGCCTCCTCCCTCACACCTGCTCTGTTTGCCTACCCCTCCGACTCCTTCTCCGCTCCGCACTGCTGCCCCTGCCCCTTCTTCTCTCCGACCTCATGGCAATCCTGTTGATCCTCCCTCCCTCGTGGCGCCTGTCCACCTGGACTTTGTCTCACACGCCTTCCACTCTCCCTCCCTCCTCGCCCTCCTCATGCCAATCTATTATTAATGCGCTGCCCCACCACTGCGGTGCACGCATTGGCGCAAGTTCCTTAATCCCCTCCCCCTCCTCCTCGCATTCACAACCTGTTTTTCAACGTCGTCGGCGCCGCGAGATTTCGACCACTTCCACGGTCCTGGGGCCGGAAACGGGCTTTAGAGATGTCGAACACAACAGACGAACTGCCCACACCATGTTTCCGCGTCGCCGCACCATGGACCTCCCGCTCTCATCTCCCTCTCCTCTCCCCCAACCCTTTCAGGACCAGTTCGGCCCAAGCTCGCATCGCAGGCGCCGCTGCGGCGCACCGATGCCTGGGGCGACGGACGGGCGGCGCAGTGCAATGGAGGCCTCGCGCGGGGCGAGGGTGGCCAGGCACGCTGCCTGCGCCTCGGCCGGCCGCGGGCCGCTGCCGCGAGGGCGTGCGGATGCACGCAGCAGCCCCTCGTCGAGGAAGAGCGAGCTGCATAGACATCCACTTTTTGGCGCTGGGCGTGGATGTTTTGGATCCACGCTGGGCCGCCCTCCCTGGCGCGCGGAGCGCGCCGGGGGTCCGCCGCCGCTCCGCGCCCCGCTGCCTCCCCTGGGCCTCGTGGCGCTGACTGTGTTCCGTCGGCGGCGAGGCAGAGGCAGCCCGCTCCAGCGTGCGGCTGGTCGGGGCCACCGAGATGGCGAAGTGGCCAGCGCGTGGGAGGGGGGGGGGGGAAGGAGGCGACAGCGGCCGCGCGGCGGGAGGGGGGGGGGGGAAGCGCTCAGACGTGGAGGGGTTCGGTGTCGAGCGAGCCCTCGTGGCGCCGACGCGCGTGCTCGGCTCTCTCGCGGCCCCGCGTCGGGCATGGCTGAAGTCGGGCACACTCCCCCCCCCCCCTTCAGGCGGATTTTTGGACGAAATATGAAAATACCCAACACGTGCTCAGAACTGGTCAAAACATGATAGAACGATCGTACCCAGACACATTTTAAAACAATGTTTCAATTCTTTTCTCCTGCGGAGGGACATGCCCGACTCAAGGCATGGCGCTGGCCACCCCGAGCCCGCCGGCGAGCGCAGCGCCAGGGCCCTCTGCCCGGACGGGGGCGGCGGATGGGGATCCCCGGGGCCCTCCCCTCGCGGCCGCGGTGGACATGCTCACGACGCCGGGGGCCGCTGGCGGGAGGCTTGAACCCTTATCCGATCCAATCCTGACGGCGTGAAGTCCTCACGAGCGCTGCCATTGGCCCCCTCCTGCAGGTACTGTCTGGCACTGCAGGCGGGGGCCATTCCGAAAGTGGGCCGGTCACCGTGGAAGTTGAAGGGGCCGGCGAGGTATGAGAGGGGAGAAACGGACGGGGGCCCGGAAGAACAGGGCGAATGGGGACACGAACAGACGGGCCGACCGCAGAAGGGGAGGCTTGAACCCCTCCTCGTCTTCCTCCTCCTCCTCCTCCTCCTCCTCCTCCTCCTTCTCCTCCTCCTCCCCCCTCCTGGTACTCCTCTTTCTCCTCCTTCTCCTCCTCTTCTTTCTGCTCCTGCTTCTCCTGCTCCTCCTCCTCCTCCTCATCATCATCATCTTGCTGCTCCTCCTCCTCCTCCTCCTCGTTCTCCCCTTTCTCCTCCTCCTCCTCCTCCTCCTCCTCTTTCTGTTCCTGATGCTCCTCCTTGTCCTCCTCTTCCTCCTCCTCCTCTTTTCTGCTGCTCCTCCTCCTCCTCCTCCTCCTCCTTTTCCTCCTCTTGCTGCTCCTCCTCCTCTCCTCTCCTCCTCCCTTCACCCCTCCTGCTCTTCCTCCTCCCCCTCCTCCTCCTGCTCTTCCTCCTCCTCATCCTCCTCCTCATCCTCCTCATTCTTCTCTTTCTCATCCTCCTCCTCCTCTTTCTGCTCCTCCTCCTCTTTCTGCTGTTCCTCCTCCTCCTCCTCCTCCTCCTTCTCCCCCTTCCTCCTGTTTCTCCTCCACCTCCTCCTCCTCCTCCTCCTTCTCAAGGAGGGACTCAACCAAATCCAATGGGATTACAGTCGGCCCGTAACGGAAGGATGTGCGATAAGGATGCAAGGGCCTTGGACGCCCCTGTCGAAGCTTTTCGAACGGGGCGCGGCAAACGAGAGTGCCCAAGTATGGGCCGAGGAGACAAGGATGCAAGGGCACCATTGGGAAGGTTGCCCATCCTTACCATGCGGACAGGCTATGTGTTCCATCCTCAATGCACCTCGCCTGTCCTCTGATCCGTCTCGTCCCCATCCGTGTCGAACCCGTGTCGGGAACTCGTCGGATCCGCGTCGGACGCGAGCCGCAGCCGTGTCGCAGCCGCGCCACGCCCGCGCCGCGGGCGCACCGGGCCCGCGCCTGGGCACGAGCCAGGACACCGCCTCCGGGATGGTCGGGCGACGTGCCCCGAAGATGCAGAGCATGCGGCAGGCAGCGCTGCCGCGCCCGACGGGGCCCATCTCCCGCCATGTTGCGTCGCAGCGCGCCCGGGGGCGGCCTGCGCGCGCGCGTCCTCAGGAACGCCCGGGCCACGGCGCGTCGCGGGGCGGCCCGCCGGCGCGAGGGGGGTCAGAGGAGAGGGACGGCCGCGGAGGGGAGAGCGGCCAGGGAGGGCAGGCGCGGGCGCGCGCGGAAGGGCTGCAGCGGGGCGCGCGGGGCTCCCGCCTGGGACTTCCTCGCGCTGCACTCGCAGAGGCGCCCGCTTGATACTTCCACCACAGTCGAGCTAGGGAGTGGGTGATGACGAAGTGACGAGTGAGTGAGTGATGATGATCAGTGGCTGAGTGATGATGAGTGAGTAATGATGATGAGGATGATGCTGATGATGATGATGATGATGATGATGCGTGGTTCAGGGATGATGAGGGTGATGTTGACGAAGGGTATGGTGATGAATGATGACGGTGACGGCGATGCTGATGCTGATGATGATGATGATGTTGATGATGCTGACGATGATGATGCTGATGCTGATGCTGATGCTGATGCTGATGCTGAAGCTGATGATGATGATGATGATGATGATGATGGTGATGATGATGACAGATGGTGGCGATGACCGATGGCGATGCTGATGAGACGAGCTGAGTGCGTGAGTGAGGCGCAGAAGGGGGAGGGGGATGGGGTTCCTCCGCGGGGTGTGTCCAGAGAAAGCAGGAACCCAATTTGGGATGTTTGGAACAAATGCTGGCCCTCCACGCGGAGTTCTTGGATCTGCGCTGTACCCTCGTCCCTGGCGCGCGGAGTGCGCCGAAGGCGGCGCCGGAGGCGCCGCTGGGGAGGCCCAGCGCGGATCCAAGAAATCAGCGCGGAGTGCCAAAAGTGTATGTTTATGGCGTGTCATTGTTTCATTTTCGAGTGCTGCATGCTAAGAGGACGACCAGAGGAACCCAACATGGGAAGAAAAAAGGGCCAGGCGTTCCTGGACCACTAGAAAGCGGCATGATGCGTTGTGGGGCCGTGCAATGCGATGCCTGGTTGGCCCCGAACAGCGAGGCGGAGGAGGAGCGCAGCCGCCACGAAGGCTGAAGGCAGTCCTGGCTTTGGGTATCCTTAGGTTTTTCGTGCCTGGGGCTCTCCACCGTTGGGGTTATTCGCTCTTGGGAAGCTCCAGTGTTCATGATCGGGTTCTCGTGGCCATCAACAGCAGGAGGAGGAGGAGGAGGTGTAGGAGCAGGAGGAGGAGCAGGAGGAGGAGTAGGGATCAGGATGAGGGGCGAGAAAGGGAGACGGAGGCAGAAGACTAGGATCAGGAAGGACCGAGGGTGATGAGCAGCCGTCTGTACTCTCTTCTCTGGTAGATTCATGCCTTCCGCCTCGTCCCAAAATTTACCATGTACCATTATCCTTTTTATCCTCGACGACATCTTGAGCAACAACTTTGTCTTCGAATATGTCATCATCAGCTAATCCTCATCCGTGCTCATCTTCATCCTCCTCCTCGTTCTCCTCTGTGCAAAGTCACTCCGCATCCCTCCCCCAACTCGTCCTTCTCCTCCTCCTCCTCCACCTCGTCATCCCTCCCCCCCGTCGCAGGGATCCGACTCATTGTATGTTGCAATGCGAGATCCCAAAAGACGGAGTTGTATCTGCAGTCGTTAGTTGACTCTCTCGGGGTTCGGCGAGGGCCCCAGGAGGCCGAAAACTGTGAAACACCTCTCTTGCGTGCTTCAAGACGCATTTGGTCGGGGTCCTCATCGTCATCCTCGTGATCCTCGAACCTCGAGACCCTCGAGATCCTCGGTCCTCTAGATCCTCGATCCTCGAGATCCTCGAGACCCGCTCGATCTCCAAGATCCTGGAGATCCTCGGTCCGCGAAGTTCCCCCCCGAGAGGATGATCCGCCCCACCCGCGCGTCTCCACGGCTTGTGCCAGGCACTTGCAGACCATCGCCTCCTTGGACCCCTTCTCCATCGCCTCCTGCGAGCAGCGGGAGCGCACGGCAGGCTCGACGTCGTCGGCGCTGGCGTCTGACGTCCCTGCTCGTTCGAGGATCGCAAGTTACGGTTCTCGGGCATTGGGGGACGTCGTTGGGCCTCTGGGAGGTGCTTCGTCGCTTCTTGAAGCTCTGACCACGGAGCCTATCATAATAGACTCGTGCCCAATGTTTGACCATGGCAGGTCCGCGACGACGTTAGCGATTGCTTCATCGTTTTCGGCCGTCGTCGCCGCCGCTGTCCTCTCAGAAAGAGGGGGAGGAGAAAGAGAGCGCCATCAGGAAGGATGAGGGAGGGACGAGTCGAGGAGGAGTGACGAGGAGCAGGAGGACGGAGGGGGGGGGGGTACAAGGTGCGAGGAGGCATGTAAGGAGGGCGCGAGGAGGTATAAGGAGGGGAGACGAGGAGGGTGCGAGGAGGTACAAGGAGGGGGGAACGAGGAGCAGGGAGGAGGGGCGGGAGAAGGAGGGAGGAGGGAGGGAGGGACGAGGAGGGAGGGAGGGACGAGAAGGAGAAGGGACGCAGGAGAGGGCGGAGGGAAGCGGGGGAGAGCGCGGCGACGCACGCTCCTGCCCCCTCTTGATCACCGCCCTCACGTCGGTCAGCTGGGTCCACTGCTCGGCGCACGAGGCCGCGAACACGGTGCAGTGGATGCCTCGCGGGGGAAGGGGGGCGGCCCGGCGGCGGCGAGGACCCCGCGCGCGCCGCCGCCTCGCCTGAATTCCCTCCCCCTCTCCTCCAACCCCCTTCACCTCCTGCTCCTCCTCCTCCTCCCCCTTCCTCCTCCTCCTCCTCCTCCTCCTCCTCCTCCTCCTCCTCCTCCTCCTCCTCCTCCTCCTCCTCCTCCTTCCTCTCCCCCCCTCATCCTCGTCCTCCCCTCGTCCTCCTCCTCCTCCTCCTCCTCCTCCTCCTCCTCCTCCTCCTCCCTCCTCCTCCTCCCCTCCTCCCCCTCCTCCTCCTCCTCCTCCTCCTCCTCCCCCTTCGCCTCCTTCCCCCCCCCTCATCCTCGTCCTCCTCCCTCTCCTCCCCTCCTCCTCCTAATCCTCATTCTCCTCTTCCTCCGTCTCCTTCTCCTCCTCCTCCTTCTCCGTCTCCTCCCCGTCGACCCCCGTACCCTCTCCCCCCCTGACTTCTGAGGGAGCGGAAAGAAGAAGTTCGCAACCCCTCCCCCGCTGACCTACTCCTGCGTACTGAGGAGTGGCTCTTTCAGATAACAGGAAGGGCCCGGCTTCGTTGAAGAGAGATGTCGAGTCGAACATAAACTCTACAAGGAGTCGTGACACACGCGCCAGATCTAATGTACCAACATCGCAGACGAAGTGAAGTACACAATACACAGTGCGTGTGAGTGAGTGCATGTGTGTGAGAGTGTCTATGTGTGTCTGTGTTTATGTATGCGTGTGCTGCGTGGGTGCATATGTGGGAGGGTGATCGTGTGTGCGTGCGTGCGTGCGTGTGTGCGTGCGTGCGTGTATGTGTTTGTGTGGTGGTGGGAATGTGTGCGTGTGTGTGTGCGCGCGTGCGTGCGTGTGAGTGTCTGTGTGTGTGTCAGTGTCAGTGTCAGTGTCAATGTCAGTGTCAGTGTCTCTGGCAGTATAAGTGCAAGTGTAAGTGCAAGTGTAAGTGTAGGGACCAGTGTAAGTGTGAGTGTGATTGTAAGTGTAAGTGTAAGTGTAAGTGTAAGTGTGTGTGCGTGTTCGTGTGCGTGTGCGTGTGCGTGTGCGTGTGGTTGTGTCTAGGTGTGCGTGTGCGTGTGCATGTGCGTGTGCGTGTGCGTGTGGGTGTGTGGGTGTGTGGGCGTGTGGGTGTGTGGGTGTGTGGGTGTGTGGGTGTGGGTGTGGGTTTGTGGGTGTGTGGGTGTGTGTCTGTGTGTGTGGGTGTGTGGGCGTGTATCTGTGTGTGGGTGTGTGGGTGTGTGGGTGTGTATGTGTGTCTGTGCCTGTGTCTGTGCCTCTGTGTTCGACGTGACCCGTAGTCACAACGATGCTGTCTGGCAGCAAGAGCAACCACAGGCGGGCATGGTGCAAATCCACGCCCTCTCTGCCCTCAACCAGCTCATCATCTCTCCCCATCCATCCTCCAAGCTCTAAATTCCTCCTCCGTGACGTAGGCTAACGTTTGCCAGAACAAACAACACGGGACAACTGTACAACAAACTAGCCCTGCCACTGGGGAGTCACGTCTGAGAGGGCGCCGAAATGTTCTCGGGACTGCGCCGCCCTACCCCATCCACCAGCGCGGGGACGCGCCAGGGGGAGTCGATCACCGCCCCAAGACATCCGCGCAGACACTCGTGCTGATGCAGTGTGATACCACAGTTCGACTTGCGCTCATGCTCTGCGATCCCCGAAGCGTGGCCTCGTGCACCCCTTCCTGCTTACAAAATGCGGGCCTGACGATCCTGATCCTATCCCACAAGACATACATGCTTAAAGGTACCCATGGACACACACACACACACAAATACACACAAATACCAGGACTCCCAGTATGGTTCCCATATTTTCTGCATTTTCGTCTTCCCCCCCCCACTCCCCCTATCTTCCCATATTTGCCTGGGAATCGACGATGTCTGTGTGTTTTGGTTCCCCTCCTGCATGTTGTTTTAATGAACGACCCGGGAGGTCCCGACCCCGTCTCCACGGATCATGTGTCGCCCCGGATCCCGACTGGATTGCCCAGGATCCCGATCGAGAAGCCCGGAGGCCAGAATCAAGGACAGAAGACAGGACAGGAGCACCAACCATGATCTGCGACCTCCTGCCCCCCTCTCCTCCTCCTCCCCCCCTCCTCCTCCTCCTCCTCCTCCTCCTCCTCCCCCCTCCCCCTCCCCATCCCCCTCCCCCTCCCCTCCCCCCCTCCTCCCTCCTCCCCTCCTCCTCCTCCTCCTCCTCCTCAACCTCCTATTCCTCCTCCTCCAGACCTTGGCCCGAGGCACATCCTCGTCCCCGCCCCCCTCTTCGGCACAGCCACTCGGTGGCGGCGCGCGGCCCGTCTGCTTGTGGATGACGAGGATCTGCCTCACGAGCTGGAGCATGACGTCCTGGCGGGGCCCAGCCGCAGACACGACCCTGGTTCCCCACCGCGAAGCCTGCCGAAGAAGACACGGCAGGCTCGTGCCGTGCCGACTCCTGCGCTGGTCCCTGCCACCGCGGGGATCGTTCCACCTTGACCGCCCGGCCGTTCCCGAAACGTCGCATCGTTCAACATCGGCCGGCTCTGGACCGCCGGCGGCGTTCAGCGTTGAGCGTCGGCGGCGGGGTCGCCGCCGGTCGACACGACGCGAGTCTGCCGCAGCGCCCCTCGGCCGCGGAGAGGGAGCTGTGGCCCCCGGGTCGAAGGAACAGCCCGACCACCGGAGCCCCATCTGTCCTGAGCCCAAGGTGAACCGCATTTGGAGCCTTGACTCCACAGGATGTGGGGGGGGCGATGGAGTACGGTGGGGGGCCAGTCCACAAGAGACCAGCCACCAAAAAAACCCAACCCTGAGACACTGGGACGTCCATGGATTTGTGGTGCGGGAACGGCACGGTTTCCATTTCGAAGCCCAAGAAACCCAGGGCACCCAGGAGGCAAGCCATGTGTTTCTTGGCATGGGCCTCCACCGTATAGACTGTCTGGCAATAGAAATAGCGTCGGGGAAGATCTGAGGGACAGGATGAGCATGAGGAGTCGAGGAAAACAGGTATAATGCGCGCGCGCGTGTACACACATGCGAACAGAGACGTACGATGACTCGCCTATGTCAAGTCAGGTCTCAGCGCGGCGGCAAGTGTGCCTGTTACAATGTGTCGTCACCACTGCTGCAAGGCGGCGTTGATGAGGGGGGGGGTAAAACTGAGACGGCACGAGAGATGACGGGAGAAGCAGATGGTGAGGGAGACAGAGAGGGAGAGGGGGGTGGCAATGTCTAGAAAACTGTGTTTTACTGATCGCATGATTGATGGGAAGAGAACAACGCACGAAATCCCACATATTGTCTACGGCAACACGAACATATCCGCCGGCCCCCTTGCGGGGCCACCAGGCTGCGAGGGTGAGGAGTGCAGCTCCCTGTTCCAGTTGCAGTTTCCAGTTTTCACTGTTGCAGTCATGCTTTCTGCTTCTTTCCTGATAATTGTTTCTGATCGCGCGAGGGGGGAGCCGAAAAGCGTCCTGGCTAGCGTCCCCGAATCGCGTTGTCTGAATTCCTGGGGGGGCGTGGGGCACGTAAGAATACACAAGATTCGCGTCCCCGAGGCCAGAAGCACTAGCAAATTACACCAGATTCGCGTCCCCGAGGCCATAAACACTTGTAACTTAAGTTCTGGTCGCGTCCCCGAAGCCATCATCCAGTGTAAACTATACAATCTTCGCGTCCCCGAAGCCATAAACCATCGTACATTACTCGATATTCGCGCCCCCGAAACCAAAAACCCATGTGAATTACACTATGCTCGCGCACCCGAAGCCGTAGACCTTCGCAAATTCTTCAATATTCGCATCCCCAGGGCCATAAACCTTCATACATTAAACCATACTTGCGTCCCCGAGGCCACAAACCTTTTACAACTTATACAATACTCGCGTCCACGAGGCCATTATCTCGAGTAAATTACACCAGATTCGCGTCCCCGAAGCAATACCCCATCATAAATTATACAAGATTCGCGTCCCCGAGGCCACAAACCCAAGTCAATTACTTAATATCCGCGTTCTCGAAGCCATACATCATTTTAGATTACATGATATTCGCGCCCCCGAGACCATAAACCCAAGTAAATTACATAATAGTCGACCCCCCAAGGCCATATACTTCAGAAAACCATATAATATTCGCGTCCCCCGGGCCATAAACCTTTACACATTACACCAAACTGGCGTCCCCGAGGCCACAAACCCTCGCAAAGTATACCATATTCGCGTCCCCGAGGCCATAAAACCTAGTAACACATTAATATGTGCGCCCCCGAGACGGTAAACCGTTTTGAATTATACAAAATCTGCGTTCCCAAACCCTCGTCAATTATGCAATAGTCAGCATGAACCATTGCACATTACCTAATATTCGTGCCACCGAAGCCATAAACCCTCGTAAAGTAATATTGGCCCTCGCGTGAAGTCCCGACATTGCTTCACGTCAGCATCCCGACATCCCAACACAGCTCTGGCAAGTTCCATTCTAAGGGAGGGTGGCCGGCGGCATGGGGGCGAAGCCCTTACGGATAAACATGCGCATATACATCTGCACATGCGAATACGCTCCCGGCTCAGCTCGGAAGGGGTGGCAGGCTGGAATAAACTAGCACCTTCAACTTTCACATCTTTCTCCTGCCCCTCGCCATCCGTTCCTCTTTACCTCTTCCGTCGTCCCTTCCATGACTCTCATCCGGTCCGGTGCCCCTTCCCCTCAGCACCGAAACCATGATCATTGCCTCCGCTTGCGCCTGGCTCAACCGCTGCCCTCCCTCATCCTTCATCTACGTCTGTGCTCCCTCCCTCCTGCCTCCCTCTCTCCCCCTGAACCTTCGATTCCTCCACGTCGTCCTGGTCCAGGAGGCCGGGGGGGGGGGACAGCGGCCACCGCGGGACGCCCTCTCTCCTGGTCGCCGTCCTCCGCCCTCTCCACGAGGCCGCTGAGGACGTCGGCGCTGCTCTGCGGCAGGGAGGTCTTCGTCGTCGTGGGCTTCACCCCTGTCAGAGTGACGTCCTCTGAAACTTTCGGGGGGTCTTCAGGCTCTTCAGGTGGTTTTCGAGTCGTCCTCCCAATCCTCGGTCATCCCCTTCCTCGATGATCCCCCTCCTCCCTCCCTCATCCCCCCCTCCCTCCGTCCCTCCTCCTCCCCCCTCCTCCTCCCCTTTCCATCATTACTGACAATGGGGCGATTTCTGGGTCTGGAGTTTAATGGGGCGATTTCTTACAACTCAAACGGGGAAGGGCCGATGATCAAGAAACCTTCGGGTGGACGCTCGCTGCTCTACGCGCACGTAATTTACGCAATTTCATTGACCTGTCCACCGCCTTGCGAATCATCAACGTACACACAATCGTAATCATCGTCATCGTCAATGCCACCATCACCATCACCCCCGCCCCAGCATCATCACCTCCACGATCTCCAGTAACTTGTTCTCCATCATCAAAAGACTATCGTCTATGCCCGTGCAACTATTGTTGATATTTCATGTCACGTGCGTGTGACAAACTGGTTGTTTCAGTGGCGGAGCCGCCACTATCAGCAACATGGCCGCCATCCAAGCTCCAGCGCAGTGTCGTTCTCGGCTCGCCAAGAACTGGATGAACGACGATCCCACTCTGCAATGTGCAATGTGTTGCCAATGCTTTGGCAACCGCCCGCGGCCCACCTCATCAATTGCATTTGCAAATTCGCCAGGATAGGCAGAATCTACTGTGCCCCCCCCCCCGAAAAAGGGCCCGAAAGTCAAGTTGCAAACGAGGGGGGGGGTCAGGTGTTGTGCAGTGCAGGGGTCTTTCGCTGAAGGATTCCGAGCATGGAGGCGCACACGGACACACACACACACACACAAACACACACACACACACACGCACGCACATATTTATATATATATATAGACACGAATCCCAGGACCCTCCAGATCCTCCACATTATCTGGAGTTTCGTGATCCCCTCCACTTCCCCAATATTCCCATATCCTAATGGGGATCGACGTTTGTTTGCGTCGGTGTGCTGCACGGTGTGCTCCCTCCTGAGAGTAATGACTCCCTTCTCTCGGCGTCGGTCGCTGGGCGGGGCCCAGCTATCCCAAGGCTGGAAGACAGCACTCCGGGCCCGCGGATGCTTGAAGGGACAAGGAGACAAGAGATGAACCTTGCTTTCTTTTACACGCTCGCGAAAGAAGGGCTCCCAACTTCGCGCTTCGCGCTGCGCGAAGCGCGACATGCGAATAACATTGCGCTCTCGCGCCACCTCCCAGGGGAGAAGAGGAGCATGAGGCATGAGGAAGAATCGGAGCCAAACCGCGAAGCGCGAATAACTTCGCGCCCTCGAATGCGCCCTTGAGAAAAAGCGTTCCGTGACAGAAGAAAGACTCGGAAAGCAGCAGGGGAGGGAAGATCCAAAGGAGAAGTACCAGCAGCAGCGCAAGCGGAACGATGCGGCTAGCAACCCACCCTGTCACTCCCGCATCCAACCTCCTCCATCTTTCTTCACATCCTCCCTCCTCCTCCTCCTCCTCCTTCTCCTCCTCCCCCTTTTCCTCTTCCTTCTCCTCCTCCTCCTCCTCCTCCTCCCCATCGTCCCCCCACCTCCTCATGCTCCCGCCTCCCTCCTCCTTCTCCCTTGTCCCTGCCTGCATCCTGGTACTCCTCCTCCTCCTCCTCATCCTGCTCCTCCTCCTCTTCCTCCTCCTGCTCCTCCTGCTCCTCCTCCCTGCCTGCATCCTGCTTCTCCTCCTCCCTGTCTGCATCCTGCTCGCCTCTCCTCCTCCTCCTCCTCCACCTCTTTCTCCTCCCGCCGCCTCCTCGTGCCTCCTCCTCCTCCTACCGACTCCCCCCCCTCCCCCTCCCGCATCCTTGTCTCTGGTCCCTGGCCCCCGGCCCCTTCGGCTTTCCCCTCCTGCCTCCTGGTCATCCTGCTCATGCTCGCTACTCCTGCTCGCCCTCCCTCCTGAACTGTTTGACGTTCGGGCGCCGCTCGAAATTTACCTTCCTGGAAACTGGCGACAAGCAATTATTAGACCGCGGGCTGAAAGCTGAGCGAGCTCGGACCCCGCAGAGTGCTGGAGAGGTTTCCACTGTTCAACTTGTCTGAACTTTGTCGTCGTCGTCGTCGTGGGCTGCTGACAGGAAGAGAGTGAGGAGGCGGGAGGAAGGCGAGAAGGAGGGATGAGGAATGAGAAGGAGCGAGAAGAGGCATGAGGTGAAAAAAGAAGGACGAGGGAGAGAAAGCAGGAGGAAGAGGGAGGAGAGGTGCCCACCCACACAAACACACACAGCATTGGGAGGTGGAGAAGGGAGGAAGGAGGGGGAGTAGGGAGGAGGGATGAAGAAGAAGGTGGAGGAAGAGGAGGAGGAGGAGGAGGAGGAAGAGGAGGAGGAGCATGAGGAGAGGAAAGGGGAGGGAGGAAATGGAGGAGTAGGTAGGAAGAGGACATGAAGGAGACAGAGGCAGGGAGACGGAAGAAGAGTGTGGCGGAGAAGAGGGGAGACAAACGAACAAGAAGGAGGAGGAGGAGGAGGAGGAAGAAGGAGAGGGAGGACGAGAGAGAGGGAAAGGATTCGGGGAGGCGGAGGGATGAAGCAGAGGGATAATGAGGTGGAAGAGGAGGCGGCGGGGGTGAGGAATACGAAGAGGCACGAGAGCTATAACGCCTGGGACTGTCCCCGCCCCTGGTCAAGTCACGATTCGCGACGGCGCCGTTTGGGAATAAGCCGTTCTCAAACATTTCCAGACGGCGCCGCCGCGAATCGCGACGAGACCAGCCCGCTCCCCCCTCCAACGTCCCCTGTCACGCCCGTTCTCGCCAGGGGATGATCAGAACGTCCCCGAGAGGCAGAAAGAAGGAGGAGGGAGATGCGGAGTAAGAGGCGGAAGACGGCGGAGGAAGAAGGCCTAGGGCGGAAGACGGCGGAGGAAGAGGCAGAAAGAGGAGGAGAAGGAGGGAGGAGGAGGGGGGGAGGAGGAACACGAAGACGAACAAGCTCGGATCTCCCGCCACGAACGCCTGCCAACTACGTAGCCTCTCGCCAGCACCACAACATGACGTGAGGAGTGTGAGTTGGATATCTACGGACACCAACGAAGACGACGAACCAGGCCTAGGTTGGGCGTGGCCCTGGTACAGGCGGATGTTGGAAGAGAATCAAAATCAGTCCAGATATACCCGAACATACTCCAGATTTCGTAATAAAGGGAGGGGGGTCTCATTTCGGGGGGGGTCTCTTCCAGGCTATCTTGGAGGGCCTGGGGGGGTCCGGGGACGATGTTTTGGAGGGTTCTCCCACGGGGGAGGTCTGAAATGGCTAGTCTTGGAGGGTCCAAACCCCCTCCCTTTTATTACGGAATCTGGAGTAACCAAAACATAATCGAAACATGGCCCCCCCGACTATATTCTGACCATTTTATGAGTCCTCCTCCTGCAGAGGGGAATGCCCGACTGACATGTTAGGCCTGCTGCGCTCCGCTGGCGCGGCCCAGGGCCAGGCCGGGGGGGCCCTGCGCGGCACGCAGCCGCGCAAAGGGGCGTCCGCCGCCGCTTGGGGCGGGTGCCTGCGCCGGCTCCTCCTCCTCCTCCTCCTCCTCCTCCTCCTCCTCCCTCCTCCGCCTCCGCCTCCGCCTCCTCGTCCTCCTCCTCTTCCACCTCCTCCTGCTGCTCCTCCTCCGCCTCCTCGTCCTCCTCCTCCTCCGCCTCCTTGTCCTCCTCCGCCTCCTCCTCCTCCTCCGCCTCCGCCTCCTCCTCCTCCTCCGCCTCCTCCTCCGCCTCCTCCTCCTCCGCCGCCGCTCGGGGCGGGGGCCTGCGCCGGCTCCTCCTCGGCCGGGGCGGGCTCCTCCTCGCGGGGGCGGCGTCGGAGGGCCTCCGAATGGAGGAGCGAAGAATGACAAAAGAAAAAAAAAAAAAAGGCTCGGAGGCCCGCGCGGAGTTTTCGGGTAGGCGCTGGACCCTCCTGGGCGGCGCCTGACTTCAACACAAAGGTTTGCGGCGATCCTCGACGCGTCGTCGTCGGTCCGCGGTCAAGTTCGAAGGACGTGCAGCAGGAGCTCGGCCGCAAGGCACCTTGGACACGAAACCCAACCCTGAGACCCCAGGATGGCCAGTGATGTTAGGTGTGGGAACGTCACGCTTTACATCCATCGCAAAACCATCGAAACCCAAGAAACCAAGGGCACCCTGGAGGCAAGCAGGGTGTTTCTCGGCATGGGTTCGTTTACGATTTGAACTGTTTCAAACGGTCGTCGTTATCGAACATCGTTGTCGAAAACGTCGTCCTCGTCGGTGCGGTCTCCGTCGTCGTCCACCTCATTGCGAAAGAAAGGCGAAGGTCGTTCGAGAAAGTCTCCTCGAATAGTGATGGGGGATCCTGGAAGCGAGGGGGAGAGGGAGGATCGAACAGATGAATCGAGAGGATCGAGGCGAGGGTTCAAGAGGTTCGAGAAAGGGAGTGCGAAAGCCGATCGAAACATCGAGGAGGGGGAAGGGAATGATCGAGCCGAGGGAACGAGGGGAGGTTACGAGAGGATCACAGGGCGGATGTCGATCGAGGGTGAGGATCGAGGAGAAGGATCGAGAAGGTTCGAGGAGAGAATTCAAGAGGATCAAGAAGCGGAGGGCGAACATCGATCGAGGTATCGAGGAGGGGGAGGGGGAGGGTAGAGGAGGATCCGGAGGATCGAGGCAGGGAAGGGCGAAAACCGATCGGGGGGGATCCCGCGCCAGGCTGAACGCGGCGGAGGGCGCGGACCAACGGAAGACCGAGGCACGAGGAGATGACGGTGGATAATTATCGTCGTCGACGACATCCTCCTCCTCCTCCTCTTCCTCCTCCTCCTGCTACTTCTCCTCCTCCTCGCTTGCGTTGGGCGAACATAGACAACGAAGCTAAAGCGTTAATCGTCGTCCATATTTTCCTCCCCGCAGACTTCCCCACCGACCCTGAAGCAGGGCGGTTCCCCCGGAAAGGGCTGGTTGGCCGGAACAGCGGCCACTCCAATGTGGAGGGGGGGATCGAGCTTGGCGCCGAACGCAACGAAGGCGTCGACCGCAAGCGCCGCTCTCCCCCGCCTCCATGTCTCTTCCATGAGTACAGGTCACCCCTTCCTGTCGCGCCCCGAGGCCAGTCCGAGGGGCGGGCCGGGCGTTTCGCGACGAGACCCTTTTGTATAATGTTGTGATCTGCAAGGTGAGAAATGACAATCCCTTTCACAGATCGAGGGCGGGTGGCCTTCAAAATGTGCTCTCGCCTCATCGCCGCGCACACTCGCCTCAAACATCTGTAACCAATGAGCATGTAACAGGTTGAGGGCCGGTCGTTCTCAAGATGTGGCTCCCGCCCTCGCGAGAGCGCCGCGGACTGCGGGCGGCTGGCTGGCTCTCAAAAGGTGGCTCTCGCCGAAGCGCCGCACGCACGTGGACAAACATGCAGGAGCTTGAGCCGCGCACGTTCGCAGCGAATTACTGCAAGAATTTCACAAATGGGGGGCGGTTCCTCTGCGAGATGTGGCTCTCGCCTGAGCACCGCGCACTTTCGTCTCAAGCAATGGCAGGAGGCGCACGGGTTCCCATGGTTAGCGTGCCAGAAACAATACTGCGCAACGGCTCAGGATTGTCAGGGCGCAGAACTTGTACTGATCCGCGGTGAAGCTCCAGGAATGGTACTCTGGCACGAGTCGGTCGTGAAGACGCAACAATACATTGTAAGTGTGGTATTGACATTCCGAGAAGGGTGCTTTGACACTCTGCAGGGTCTTTACACGGTTCTCTCCGAACGGAGCACTTCCGTCAGTGGAAAGTAACCTTGTAGGGGTCTGTGAAGAGGGAGCTTGGAGCGAGGGTTTCTTACAACAGCGTTGATGAGTTTTGGGTTTGCAGTGGTCCTTCTACTCATCCTCATCCTCCATCCTCCTCCTCCTCCTCGTCCTCCCTCCTCCGATTAGGGACCATTCCAATACTTCTAAATATCATCATGTCTATATATGAATATATATATATATATATATATATATAGATATATCATTCGCGATACAGGCTCCGCGCCCCCTTCGCGCCGGCGCCGTCAGGGACTCCACCATCCCTGAGCATTTCCAGACGGCGCCGGCGCGAATCGTGCCGCGGCTCTCCCTCCCCCCCGCGGTCCCGCCCGCTATCGCCGGGGGATGAGACCACTTGCTTTCATCCGATGGCGGTTGACTTCTCTCCGACGTCCGCCTCCAATTGAGAGCTTGTTGGCCCCGTAGCCCACCATCAATCGGTCGGGGGTGAGAAGCTGCAGGCAGGGAAGGCGGGAGGCGGGAGGAGCAAGGGAAAGGAGGAGAGAGGGACGATGGGGCTGCGCGAGGCAAGACGGCGCCGACACCGACGCCGACGTAGACGACGAGGACGACGGCGACGACCACGTCGACGACAACCACGTCGACGGCGACGACGACCACGGCGAGAACCACGGCGACGACAACGACCACGTGTCGACAACGACCGTGGCGGCGAAAGCGAAGACGACCACAACGACCACCACGATGACGACGACGACACCGACGACGACCACGACGACGACCATGCCGACATCGCGACGACGACCACGACCACGGCGCCCAACGACAGCTGCCAACGGCGGCGGCCGGCGCCACCGCCGCGCGGCGAGGGCGCTCCGCCAGACGGGCGGCCTCGGCCACGGAGACGAGCGTCGTCGAGGACTCGCCCGGCAGCTCCGGCTCGGGCGGCTCGGCCGCCCCCGGGATGGCCGCCTCCGGCACGCTGCCTGCCCACCGAGCGCGGGCGCGCGACGACGACGGTGGACCATCTGGACTCAGGCAGGAGGAGCCCAGCATCGAATCGACAAGTCGGAGCGGCGATCGGAGCGAATCGGATCGGCGGACATCGGCAGGCTAGTATGCCTCCAGTAAGGAGCGGAACCCCAATCGGAATCCCAAGCCGAATCGAATTGGAATCGGAAGCCATCGAAATCGAATCGAATCGAATCGGAGGTATCGAAACGAACCCTGCTCAGGTCGGACATGTCCTCCTACAGGCGGATCCTGGACGAAACAATAAACATATTCAGAAGATGCTCAAACATGGTCAGACTAATAGAAAAATCGTCCCCGTAAGATGTCTGCGCTATGTTTGAATATTCTTCCCATGCGCGACGAAAATCTGGACCTCCGCGGCATGATGACCTCTTCAAGTCCCGACGCTCCATGCGCGGCTTTGGCTTCGAGGGGCCCGCCGCCAGGCCCGACGGGGCCAGCCGAAGTGGGCGCGGGGCGCACAGCTGTCGCGAGCGTCTCTTCAACATTACCCTTGGGAGCCCCGGCGGTGCCCCGAGGCACGGCCCCTCCCGGAGCGAGAGCAGCGGCCGAGGCGGTCCCAGCGGCGTTACCGCGCGTGGCGCGCCGAACTGTCAACTCCTCCTCCTCCTCCTCCTCCTCCTCCTCCTCCTCTTCCTCCTCCTCCTCCTCGTCCTCCTCCTCCTCCTCCTCCTTCTCCTCCTCCTCCTCCTCGCCTCCTCCTCCTCCTCCACCCTTCTCTTCCTGCTCCTCCTCCTCCTCCTCCTCCTCCTCCTCCTCCTTCTCCTCCCCTACCCCCCTCCTCCTCCTCCTCCTCCTCGTGGGGCGCTCTCGGGCGCCGCCACGGGTGGGCCTCGTGGGCCCCTCAGCCTCCTCCTCTCTCCTGCTCCTCCTCCTTCCCCCTCCTCATGCTGCTTATCCTCCTTCTCTTCTTTCCTCCTCCTCTTCCTCTCCTCCTCTTCCTCCTCCTCCTCCTCCTCCTCCTCCTCTGCCTCTCCTCCCCTCCTCCTTTTCCTCCTCCACCTCCTCCTCCTCCTCCTCCTCCTCCTCTTCCTCCTCCTCATCCCTCCTCTTCCCCCTCCTCCTCCTCCTCCTCCTCCTCCTCCTCCCTCTCCTCCTCCTTTTCCTCCTCCTCCTTTTCCTCCTCCTCCTCCTCCTCCTCCTCTCCTTCCTCCTCTTTCTCCTCCTCCTCCTCCTCCTCCTCCTCCTCCGCGGAGGCCACCTTTGGGCACCCTTGAAGCCTCCAGAGCCCATCGGAAGCCAGATGCCGAGACATAGCGAGACGGAGGGAATCACTGATCGTCCTGCCGCCACCGATGGCCTACCGAGGCTGCCGACGCATTTCCCACAGCGCGGGGCGGGCGAGATACGCCCCAAGAAGCTCGAACCTCATCCCCGAGACTGCCGGCCGCCGCCGACTGCCGTCGAAGTCGTCTGTGGCGGCGGTCGTCGGCAGCCAAACGCGGGTCGTCGATCGTCGCCACTGTCCGTCCGTCGGCATGCGGTCGCCATCGCGCGCGGGAGCGCGCCATCGAAGGACGCCGCTGCCGATCGAGGCGTTCGAGGCTTCTGGGCGTATCCCCAGACGACGAATATCGAGGATCCCAGGATCGAGATTCCAAGATCGAGGTTTGGGAGCCTCAACTGTTTGACCTCTCGCCCAGTGCTCACCCCGCCTCTACCCGCTCAGCCTTGCATCCCTGCCCTCCTCCAACACGCTGGACATCCTCCAGCACAGAGGTAAAGCCTTGAGTTTCTGCTTGGAGAATCCCACACTCCTTGATTTCGCCCAATGGCGCTCACCCTGCCTTCGCCCCGCATGCACCACGCTTGGCACCGCCCACCAATATTCCATGCGCTTCTGTTTGGACGACCGCCCACTCCTTGATATACCGCGCAAACCTCCCCTGAGATCGGACGACGCGGAAAATACAGTATCATAGAAAACCACGGCCAAATCTCATGACCCGCTCTTTCTGCATTATGTTCCGAGCTGGACCGGTCTGTGAGGGTCCTGGGGCCCGAGCAGGGGTGAAAACGCCCGGCTCGCGAAGATGCAGACGCCAGGATCTCAGGAACACCCCGCCACCGCCCCGCCTCCACCACGCCCGCCTGCGCCTGCGGTTTGCTCTGAGGACGACCCGAATTCTGCATCTCTCGCGTGGCGCTCACCTAACCTAAATCCCGCCCGCTCCCGACTCTGCCACGCCCGACATACCCCCTCGGGGTTTCTCGAGGACCCGCTCCATCATGTCTCGCCCGCAGCTCCTCCCGCCTCCACGAGGCCTACAGCGTGGGACTCTGTCTCGACGACCGCCCACCTCTTGCCTCATCGTCCAACGCCATCCCCGCCTCCCCATCTTGGGCGCCCGAATTATCCGGGGTAACTCGGGTCCGGGGTAACTCGGGTTTGGATTCCCGGAAAAGGAACCCGAGTTAGCCCTGACCCGAATTATCCCTGATGATTCGGGGCTCTGGGCGCCCGAGTTATCCGGGTATCCGGGGTAACTCGGGTCCGGGGTAAGTCGGGTTTGGATTCCCGAGAAACGAACCCGAGTTATCCCTGACCCGAGTTACCCCTGATGATTCGGGGCTCTGACCACGTCCGACGACAACCCAACCCCCAGCCCACGAATCGGCGTCCTTTTCGCCCACACCGCCCCTGCCACGCTCGACATCCGCCCCCTCCAGCAGCCCACGCACTTGCACTCTGCAGACGAAGCCCCCCCCTTGCAGACATCCTCACAGCGTGCCTCCCTCAAGAGCTCAAGTGCCATGCATGGTGCTAAATGTCCTCATACAGGCGGACTTGGGGGGGAAGAAGCATTGTCTCAGCATATTCAAGCATTGACATATATGTGCTTCTATCTGCACAACAAGAAAAGCCACACACACACACACAAAGCGTCCCCAGACTAGATGTGTCTGGTTTGCGACGTTCCTCCTATAATGGTACATGCCCGACGTAATGCTAATGTAGCATTGTCCGCATCGGATTGCAATATCGGCGTGGGGGGCCCTATAAGAGGGCAGCTCCCGTTCGCTACCCCCTCGCAAGTGCCTCGCAGACGGCGCCCACGCTGAAGACCAGGGCTGAACCTCAACGGTCTTGTTCGCTTTCGTTGTGTTGTTCGTTATTCCACGTTTTGCCTACGCTTCGCCTTCAATGCAAAGCAATACGAAAGACACGACTGCCACCGAGATGACCAAAGCACCGTTTAGCTCCAGCCCTGCTGGAGACATTCTGACATCTTGCCCCTTCCAGGTACTCAAACTCAGGAGAACGCCTACAGTCTGCCGACGACCGGGTCGGATTACTAGCGTCAAATGGGCCCCACACCTTTCAAAACCTCCTCACGGCTCACTACTAAGGAATCCGCGCCCATCTCCTGAAGCTTCGGTCAGCTCATGTGTTCGTAACTCGATGCGGGTGGCCCTCTCCGCGTCCTCCCTCGAAGCCATTCCCCCCTGCCCCTCGACATCCTCCTCCTCCTCCTCCTCCCCCCCTCTCCCTCCTCCCCCCCCTCCTCCTCCCCTCCCCCTCCTCCCCCTCCTCCCCCTCCTCCTCCCCCTCCTCCCTCCTCCCTTCCCCTCTTCCTCCTCCTCCCTCCTCCTCCTCCTCCTCCTCCTCCTCCCTCCTCCTCCTCCTCCTCCTCCTCCTCCCTCCTCCTCCTCCTCCTCCTCCCTCCTCCTCCTCCTCCTCCTCCCTCCTCCTCTCCTCCCCCTCCCCCGCCTCCTCCCCGCCCTCGACGCCCTCCTCCGCCCAAGCGCCTCCACGAGGCCTCAGCTCTGGCAGCGCGCGCGGGGGCAATGGCGCGAGGGGGGCGGCCTTCAAAGAGGGCGGGGGGACTTCTTCTCCCAGAAGGCAGGAGCCTCCTCCACCTCCTCCCCCCCCTCCTCCTCCTCCTCCTCCTCCTCCTCCTCCTCCTCCTCCTCCTCCTCCTCCTCCTCCTCCTCCTCCTCCTCCTCCTCCTCCTCCAGCTCCTCCTCCTCTTCCTCCTCCTCCCCCTCCTCCTCCTCCTCTTCATCCTCCTCCCCCTCCTCCTCCTCCTCCTCTGAGAAGCCCTCCGGGCCTCCGAGAGGCCTTCTGAGCAACATCCGGGCCGTTCCGGCACTGCCACCATGCCGCCCAGCTGGAGCATCCTCCGCCCCCCTCCTGAAGGAGGAGCGCCCCGTCGGCGCCAACACCCTGCATGCTGACGAACATCTCCCTCGACGCCCTCCTGTCGACATCCTCCCTCGACGCTCCTGTCGGCGTCCTCCTTCGATGCCCTCCTCCCCCGTCGCCCTGCTGGAGGAACACGCGGGTCCTCCCAGGGCAAGGAGAGCCCAGAATCGAATCGATCAGTCGGAGCGGCGATCGAGATGAATCGGATCGGCAGAACTCGGCAGCCGAGTCGAGAAGAGTCGAATCGGCAGGCTAGTATACCTCCATTTAGAAATCGGAGCCCACCACCAGATTCTCAAGTCGAATCGAATCGGAATCGGTCGAAATCGAATCGAATCGAATCGGAGGAATCGAAACGAGCCCTGCCAAGCCCTCCCCCCCCTCCCCCCCCTGTGACCCCCGCCGACGGTCGTGGAGAGCTCGGTGGCCATCGTCTGGTCGGGGTCGTCCTTGCCTGGCGGCGTGCTCCTCGCCATCCCCTTCTTGCTTCGTCCCGCTGCTTCAATTCTCGGGGGCGGCCAAGAGTGGGGCGCCCAAGAGTGGGTTAGGGCGCAAATCATGTTCGGCGGCATGTGCGCGACCCAGGGAAGGGGCCAGGGACGTGATGAAACAAGAAGAGGCGCCATGAGATCTGGGGAAACATCATGGCCCACGCCATGACATCCATCCCCCCCCTGGTCATCACCCCCCTCCCTGCCGCCCCCGAATTTCTCCGTCTTCTCCTCCGCCTCCCCACGCTGGCTCTCCCCACCATCCATCTCCGCACGCTTCTCCTTCTCCTCCGCCCGGCTCTGGCGACCCCCCCGGGGCGCGTCACCGTGGGTGCCTCCGAGCGGCCCCCGAGCTCCCCCCTTCTCCCTGCTTGAATCGATGTGGGGGTTGTTTACTGGTTCGGGTGAATATATCTACTTAAGCTCGCACATACCAGACTTCGCTAAACAGCTTACGAAAGCAGAACGCGCAGCAGTTACCAAGTGTACACATTGCAGTTAGCGAATAGTTAGCGGTTGTAGGCTAACTAGGTTAGGGCAGTTGCGCTAACCAGGCTAACCAGGTAAACTTGCTACTTAGTGCGGGTGCTATGGGTGCGATTCTGGAAACCGCCGTAAACGGCGGAGGGGCGGGCGGGGTGTACATGAGCCAACAACAACACGCCAATAGCATGTATAGCTCACCGCTTGCATATTATCATCCTCTTTGAGCTTGTGCGCCCAAGGTCCAGATATCAATGTAATGTTGCTTCCCTGAACGCATATAAAGCCTACAGAAGCGATGTGAAACATATGTTGTACACTCTCGGGATGTATACGGTCACCGAACATATGTAGACCTAATCGTATCCCTCCCCACGATGTGAGATGTGGATCAGCCAAAAAAGAGGCGGCAGGCAGTCTTGTGATATTACCTGTTGGGCTGAATATGAACACATAACTGTGAATCGTGTGGTATTCCAGTTTATATGTATATGTGCGCACAAAGTAGAAGCCCATGTAATGTTCTTCGCAGTATATGGGCCCACCGACTTCGAAGTGACGCCTTCTAATGGTGTGCACTCGCAGACAACATGGCCATACCATGATGTTCATGTTTTGGGCTGTACGTGAGTCTACAGAACCGACTCTGATATCTTCTCTTGAGGTGTCTGATCACATACACGAAGTGTCAACATTATTGTATTTCCGTCAGGGTGAAACGGGCGCGCAGACAATGGAAATACGATTGGTCAGGTTAAGGTTGTGCGTGATCCTCTGCACTGGGTTGTGCGGTGTTGGCGTGAAGCAATCGCGCTGCCAGTGGGCCCCTCTCGGGTCCCTTTCGTGGTCAAGGGCCTTCGCGGGCTCTCTTATTGAGGCGGGGCCAATCGGCGCCCCGTCGACACGGAATCACGGTTCCAAGAATACCCCAAACATCAACATCAGTAACGGCCCCAAGGAGGCCGAACATGCCCGATGAGACGCCTTTGAAAAAGCCAGGCGCCCGAGAGGGCCCCAAGTTGGCCCGATTGGAGCAACAGTGGAGGGAACGCCCGAGAATGCCCATGGTTGATTCCAACATGCGGGGGCCATGGTGTTCAGAGTTCATTGACTGACGATTCCCGAGGGCCAGCAGCGGCCCTGAGAGGAGCAACGAAACGCCAGAGATTGTCCCGATAAGGGCCCCAACAGGGGCACATGCCGCTCGCAAGGGGACGGGTGGCGTTGGCCAACCCGCTCGTGTCGTGGCTTGCTTGATGGGGCGGCGGAGGGCCGATGAGGCACTATATTTGTTCAAGCTGCCTCGGACGACCCCCGAGAGCAGGATGAGTGGGAGGAGCGGCGGGCTGTTTTGGATGACCCCCGAGAGTGGAGGGGGAGGGGAGGAGTCGGAATGAGAGCGGAGTGTAGTGGAGGATAATGAAGGGGAGCGGAGGTGAGCGGAGGGGAGGATACATGGCCTATAGGCAGTGCGACAACTTGCCTACCATAGTTCTGAGCTTGGGTGTGAGCAGTACTTGTGAAACGCTGCCAACGTCAGCCTGGAAAAAACAACACGAGTCCAACACGCATGATCCGTGCACCAGGCGCGGCACGTCCCGAACCATACATTTTACATGCGTGGGCGTTCGGTCGATAACTTCCCAATCGGCTATACAAGAAATGAGGTCATCGTCCACTCTCGCCAAAAAGTACAACAATCCGAAACCAATGCGGCCATCCTCACGAAAAAAGACACTGTGTCACCCATGCACACAACCCTGCAATGGATGTATGCCGACCTCGCCGTCAAGATAGTCGCACCGTACGGAAATACCATTGCCGACGACAGTGCTCTGCACAACTTGTTCCCAGCGGGCCTGGGTTCCAAGAGATCTGCATGGATCAACAGGTCTTTGAAATCGTGAATGTGCTGCAGCGTCGCTTCTTCGACCAAGCCCTTGTCGAACCCCGTAGTGTTACGATGGGCTTCGGCGAATCGTTTGAGGACGCGGTGCTTCCTCTCCATGAGGAAGCACCCTAGGAGCTTCCCATGTTCCAATAATTGTCTGGGTAGTTGCACGCACCAGTGAGACTTCGTTTTCCAGAGCAGATCGGCATACGCGCCTTGGTGAGCACGCCGGCGTCGCATGATTGTGTCGCCTAGCACGCAGGGGTCGACGGACCCCGTATTGACAACAGAGAGCATGGAGATCACCTCGCACAGGCGGAGAGCACTCTCAACTTCACGTGTGCAGATGTTCTGTCCAACTATGTCCTGGAGGTACTTCTCCAAGATTGGAACGGCCGCGATCTGCTCACTAGCCGACCCCCCTGGTGAGAAAGATTTGTTTCCTTTGCACAGCTTCTTCGCAGTCGGATAACCACTCGGGAAATTCCAATGTTGGACGTAGTTGTCGAACACATCTCCACCCAACTTGTGCTTGCCAAGTCTAGTCAGTAGTTCCCTCGTTTCGTGTGTGAATACGCCGTCCACGAGGTATATGTGCATGTAGTCCCAACACCGCGCTGATATGCACCCCACATCAATCGATGCATCTTGGAGGAGGCCCTCAGCATTGAAGTTAAATCCGAACCACGCTTCCAAGTCGTCCAACTCAGCGGGGTTGTCCGCAGCAGCGCCAGCAAGCCTCCGTTGAACCGCTCTCACCGAATCGTCCGTGTGAAGCTTGAGTTTGTCTAAATCCAAACACGTCGAGCTGACGAGGAATCCTGTCGGATCTGGTAGTAAGGAAGACGACTTCGCAACCAAGTTGGCGCACGTCACGCAACATTTATGACCGCCACTTCCTTTGACGCGGGTTGTATATTTATGCGCGCGTTCATCTTGAATAAACATAGAAATCCGGCCAAATAATAATCTCTGGCTGGCCTCGCCTGGCATTGTAAAGGAGATGCCGTGACGTAGGTCGTGGGGCAACGGTGCCCCCATGAACATTTTTATCACATATCTCCACAACTGCGAAAGACCACCTGGCAGACGGTCGACCTCCGACTGCCGAAGAGCGCAGATGGTAAACCAACAGTACTCACAGCATCACGCATTGTTTGGAAATCTTTCAGTGTCCAATAAAGTGCCTGGGTCCGCCTAAAGTTGGCTGTGCTGAGCTGGTTCCCAGGTGTTACCTCATCTGAGTAGAGCACCAAATTCAATGCGTCCCTTGACGCATCGAGCGTCCTGCACAACAGATCCTTGAACTCTGCTGAAGTCCTGGAAGCCACTTCCAAAAATCCGAGAGGGTGTTGAATGTGCACGCGAACAGGTTCTTGCCCAGACACTGGGATCTTGACCTCCTGCACGAGAGGCCCAAAGCTAGTCTCTTGATGCGCCAATTGTTTGACGGCGGAGCCTATGGTGAACGTGCTGTAGGCATCGGGCAGCTCTTGTGTCGATAACTCATGGAGAAGCTTCGCCAGAGCACTGTTCGATATGTAGGAGTCCCTGCCTAAATGTGCAAGCTTTGCCCGCTTATGTCGCGCAGACATGGGTTGGGCCAAAATGGCTATGAAACTACTGGTCCCCGTGCGGAGTTGTCGCACAATGAGATTGTTCCCGACGGGTAGTGGGACATCTCGAGCGCTGGGCGCCGCGCTCGTGCCTGCAGACCTTGCATGCCACGCGGCAGCCCAAGATGACACCAAGCGGGCTGTAAGAGCGTTGCGACCCGTGCCCCAAGACGACCCCATTGGTTTTCAAACTGTACTGCAGTATATGTGCAGTACATGTAGTATGGCATGTACTGTATGCCATGTTTGGTATTGCAGACTGCGCAACGTGGAGGTGTTAGGACATGGTTAAACATGCAAGTGTAATAGTGCTGAATAATTTGACACATTTGTTATTGCATGTTGCACATGGCAAACTTGTTGTCTCTACAAGCAAGTGGAGTTGGGCCATCGTTTTGAAAAACAGCACATCGCAGTCCTTCCTTCCTTCACTCTGTCCTCCCTTTCTTCGACCTTCCTCCTCCCCTCCTATCATCCCTGCCTTTGCCTTCCGTATGCCAACCAGTTCGGCACACCCCGCATCGCGCGGTTCGTGGCCCCATGGGTGCTTCCACCGAAGGCATTGCGGCAAGTTCGCGCACGCCCCCAAACCCAGTTCAGCAAATGTTCCCCGCTGTTCGTGACCCCATATGGACTTCCACTGAAGGCCCCAGGGTTCGCATGCCCCCTCCCCCCCTCCCCCCTTCACACGACCGATTCAGTTTAGCATGCCCCCCCCCCCCCCCGCGATTCGTCGCCCAGAAGCCCAATAGGCAAGGTGCGCATGCGTCTTCCCAGCACTATTCAGGCACACCCCCTCACGCGGTTCGTAGCACCGTATAGAGGTTGACCAAATGCCCTTATAGTGGCAAGGTTCGCACGCCCCCCCTTCCCCCGCCGCCGCCGCCGCCACTGCCGCCACACACGCACACACACACACACGCACACACACACACACACACACACACACACACACACGCACACACACCACCCACCCGCCCTGGCGCGCACCACACACCGTTCGCGGCCCCATCGGGACCACCACGGAATGTCTCCATGGCAAGGTTGGCACGCGTCCCCCGACACATTTCGGCACACCTCATACGGTTCGTGGCCCCATTACGGATTCCACCCTAGGCCGCGAGGTTCGCACGCCTCCCCCCCCCCGACCAAATTCGGCATATTCCTCACAGGGTTCGCGGCACCATGATGAGCCCAGTAAGTGGCAAGGCCCCCCCCCCCCCCCCCCGACACATCTCGGCAGACTTTTCGCGCGGTTCGTGGCCCCAGAGGGGGCCCACCGAATGCCTCCGTGGCAACATTCGCACGCATTCCCAACATTTCGGCACACCCCTTAAACGGGTCGTGTCCCCATTTGGTTGTTCAGCCGAAGGTCCAAGTGGCAAGGTTCGCAGCCCCCCCCCCCCCCTCCCCCCCCTCCCCCCCCCCCCCCCCGACCCATTGCGCCACGCCCCTTGCGCAGTTCGTGACCACTATGGATAGGGCGCCCCGCCGAAAACCCTAATGGCAAGGTCCGCGTACGTCCGCCCGACTCATTTCGGCACGCATGCCAAGTGGCCCGCACCCCCATAGAGAGCTCCGACGAAGGCTTGAGCGGCAAAGTTCGCATGTGCCTCCCTGCCAAATTGCGGCACAACCCTCACACGTTCCACCGAGGGCCCCAGTGACAAGGTTCGCATGCGTCCCCCGACACATGTTGTCACATGTCGGCACGCCATTCACACGGTTCGTGGCCCCAAGGAGCCCCGCCGACCCCCCCCCCCCCCAAGTCCGCACGTACCCCCAACCGATTTCGGCACGTTTTCACAAGGTTCGTGGCCCCATAGGAATTTCCACCGAGGCACCCGACCTATGTCGGCAAATTTTTCACATGGTTCGTGGCGAGCCCAGCCGAACGCCATGTTGGCAAGGTTCGCATGCGACCCCCGACCGCATTTCGGCACACCATTCGCACGGTTCGTGGCCTTTGGCAGGGCTCGCATGCGCCCCCCGACCGATTTCGGCACACCCATGACACGCTACGTGGCCCAATATGGATCCCCACCCGAAGCCCAAGCACGGTTCGCATGCGTCCCCCACCGAGTTCGGCACACCTCTCTCGGATCCCAACCGAAGGAGTATATTTCGGATGCGTCCACCGACAGATTTCGTCACACCCGTCACACGGCTCGCGGCTCCATAGGGCGCGCGAACCTTGCCATGGCAAGGTTCGCATGCCCACCCCACACACACCCACGCACACACATATACACACACATGCACACGCACACACACACACACCCACACACACACGCACACACACACACACGCACACACACACAGACACACACACACCACACACGCACCACACGCGCACACGCACACATACACACGTATATATACACACACGCCCACGCACACACACACACAACACAGTTCGGCAGACCCCTCGCGCGGTTCGTGGGATCCCCACCGAATGAGGATGAATAGGGAATGGGCAGGATGGCGGATGAGGATGAGGAATAATGGGGAATGGGCAGGATGCCGAGAAGGCGAGGCCGAGGATGATGAGGATGATGAGGGAGGAGCTGGAGAGTGATGACGACACAAGAGGAGGGGCGGGAGTGGCAGGGGGAGCGAGGGAGACATATGGGCCTCCTCACGTTTACCATGATCATCAGTATCCTTAGCGTTACCTTTATCATCGTCATCGCCCTTATCAGTATCATGCTCATTACCAGTGCCATCACCGTACCGTTTACCCTTATATTTCGCCGTACCCTTATTGTGTGCCATGGCCCTTGTTATCATCATCATCCTCATCGCCCTTGCCAGTGCACTACCCTTATCATGTTCACCCTCACCCCTACCCTCAGCATCATCACACTAATCAGGTTCGACAGTTTTCAATGGAGGAGCGTGGAAGAGGATGCGAATGGAGACGAGAAAGAGGAGGAGGAGGAGGAGGAGGAGGAGGGGGAGGGGGAGGAGGATGAGGAGGAGGACTATATGAGGAGGATAATGATGAGGAGATGGAGGATAAGGAGGAGGATGAGGATGAGGATGATGAGAATGAGGGTGAGGATGATGATGATGAGGAGGAGGATGAGGAGGAGGAAGAGGAGGGGGGGACGAGGATAAGGAGGGTGAGGATGCGGAGGAGGAGGGGGCAGGATTGGGAATGTGCCATCTCGCGCGGGGTCACAACTCATTACTTAGAGTGCTTGTCGAACACAGCCTCGGCCTTCGCCCGCGCAGCCTTCGCAGCGAGATTGGCCTGAGCGGCAGTGTACCCCTCCCTCTTTGCCAACGTCTGGGCACCCTTGTACGCGCGCGAGCAATAGCAGTTGACAGCGCGGCCCTTGATGTCGCTCTTTTGGAGCAGATGGGAATAGTCGACCTTCGGGAGCGCTCCGCCTGTCGGGGCGGGCGGTGCCAACCCTGCCCCACCCCCGCTCCACTCGCGACCGACGAGGAGTACGAGGAGGATGATGATGCTGCTGCTGATGATGCTGATGATGATGACGATGATGATGGTGATGATGATGCTGATGATGATGATGCTGCTGATGATGCTGATGATGATGATGATGCGGAGGAGGAGGAGGATGATGAGGAGGAGGAGGAGGGGGATGATGAGATGGAGGACGATACTGATGCTGAGGATGATGAGGATGAGGCGGAGGTGGAGGATGAAGATGATGATGATGCTGCTGATGATGACGATGATGATGATGAAGATGATGATGCTGTGGATGACGATGCTGCTGATGATGATGAGGATGCTGATGAAGATGATGATGGTGATGCTGATGATGGTGATGATGGTAATGATAATGATACTGACGGTGCTGATGGTGATGAATATGATGACGATGATGATGCTGATGACTCCTCCTCCTCCTCATCCTCCTCATCCTCCTCCTTCGTGTCCTCCTCCTCCTCCTCATCATCCTCATCATCCTCTTCATCTCCCTCCTCCGAATCCTCCTTCTTTCCCTCCTCATCCTCATCTTCCTCCTCCGCCTCCTGCTCCTCTTCATCCTCGTCATCCTTCTCATTTCTCCTCCTCCTCATTCCTCCTCCCCCCTCTGCACGTCCTCATCCTGGTTCGACAAGTTCGCGAAAACGGAGGGAGAGAGGGATGGGGGGAGGGAGAGAGGGATAGAGAGAGCGGGGGGGAGAAAGGGAGGGAGGGAAGGGGGGGAGGGGAGAGAGGGAGAGAGGGGGAGAGGGAGGGCGGGATTGGGGGGAGAGAGAGGGAGAGAGGGAAAGAGGGAGGTGGTGGGAGAGAGAGAGAGAGAGAGAGAGAGAGAGAGAGAGAGAGAGAGAGAGAGAGAGAGAGAGAGAGACGCGGCGGGCCGCTTCATCAAGTTCTTCCGCACCTTGGCCACAGCTGCACTTTTCCTCATGGCCACCTCGAGCTCTGCGGCGGGGTCGTAGGGCTCGGCGGGCTGCGTGTTGCCGCCGAGGTAGGCGACCCACTCCTTGGGCGACTCCTTGGGCGACTTGGTCGGCGGCGTGAGTCTGGTCTCGGTCGATGGCGTGAATGTGAGTGCCGTCGGTGAGGTCGCTGTCGATAGCGGCGTGGTTGCAGTCGGTGGCGGTGACCCGTCAAGGATGGCGAGCTGCGACGTCGGCGAATCAGGTGGGCCGTCCACCGTGCCCTCGGTCATTGTCTGTGCTGGCTTACGAGGCCTCGGCCGCATGTCCGAGAGCGTGATCGGCGAGCCTCCGCCGCCCATCATGTTCTGAAGTGCCGCCGCAGCAATGGCGAACATCTGTGCCATCTGATCGCCACCTGATCCCGTCGCCGTAGACAGATTTCCGAGATTCATGGGCGGTGCCGTCGGCGTCGCCCTCAGAGATTTATGGGTCTTGCGGTAGCACATGCCGTTGGAGTCGACGCCCAAGTCGACGCCCGCAGGAGGCTCGACGGGGAGCTTGTCGGTGCCGCACGCGTAGATCAAGAGCTGCGCTGGCAACTCAGTCCGAGGATTGGGAGGGAACCGCCGCCTGTGCTCGAACGGGTGCTTCTTGCCGTTCTTCTTGTCCATTTCCTTGATCGTGGTCTGGATCTTCTTGCAGATGGCCATCTTCTCATGGGCGGGCGTGCTGTCGGGGCCCATGTTCAACGCGACGAGGATGGCGCCCCCCTGCTCGAGGACCTTCTCCTGCGGGCAGCTCATGCCGACCAGCCACATGCGGCCCCCCATGACCCTGATCTTCGCATCCATCGAGTACTCGGTGTTGGTGAAGATCTGCCAGTCCTCCTCCAGGAAGTAGTTATGCAGCCACTCGTTGGTTCGCTGGCATCTTGCCTGGGTGGCGCCACCGACCTTGTTGATAGTGTCGCATATGGTTGTTGCCATCCTCTGCTTCTGAGGTAACGTCCATGGGCCACCATTTATCTCCGAGGTCAGGACAGTCCCCTCGTCTACAGTGAGCTTGCCAGCTGTCTCAGCTATCGAAGTGCAGATGGCCTGCACCTGAGACTCTTGGAGGGCATCTCGTCCAATGCCTGCCCCAGCCTGCGCCGCCACGAAAGCAACCCTGCCGCGGATGCTCTCGATCAGTCGGCTGACCGCGGAGCTCATCCCGTCGGAGTGGACCGCGGGGGGATGCATCCCGCCGCGCACGGCAGCAAAAGTTCCGGAGTAAGTTGGCGTGGAAAGCGCCTCAGCCATAAGTTATGGTGCACGCGTGCGCGCACGAGCAGTCACACAGCATGGCAGGAGGGAGACGGAGGATGAGACGGAGTTGCAGCGGGATGTAGAGGGTAGGGGGCGGGGAGAGGGCGGGAGGGCAGCGGGTGGATAGGAGGGGCCTCAATCTGAAACGTCTGGAGGGAGAGGTCCGAGCTTAGTGGTGGAGGAGAAGGAGGGTGGGATGCCTAAATCTAGAACGTCGTGAGAGACATCCTCGTATGCATGACTTGCTAAGTTGTGTGGTTTCTTCTGGGATGGCGGGCCCGAAACTTGTAGCTGCCATCGCTGTGGGCAGCACATGGAGCCTGCGCCCGCACGCACCTCGCGCTCTCATGAGGACCAAAAGGGCTGCCGCCGCTGAGAGTGAAGCGAGCTGAGCGGAGTGGCACCGTGCCGACGCCAGAGGTCAACAGATGAGTTCGCATTCGCAATGCCAGACTCCTTGGAGGGCCCTCGGGTGTGCGAGCCCCCCCTGGGGGACTCGCACACCTGGTCCCATTCCCCCCACAGGGGTTTGGACAATCGTCTGAGCCCGCGCGAAGGCAGTCCAACACCTCAGGTCCGACCAAAGGGCTTTAGAGACTGGGGCGATTGTCCAAACCCCTGCGGGGGGGATAGGGCCAGGCGTGCGAGCCCCCCTGGGGGGACTCGCACACATTCGACTGACCCGCTCTGGAAAGCACGTTAGCAAGGCGTCGGGTATAAGCTGGGGCATATCGAAAGCTGACCATCCAGCCATGCCCCTCTCTGATCGCACCCACTGCCTTGCGCCCTCCTTCGTCCATCGCCCATCTGAGCACCCCCATCCCGCACCGCCACCACCACCCTCACCGCCCCGCGGTTGAGGGTGAAGACATCGGGGGCGGGGGGATGAACGGGCCTGGGCGGATGGCGAGGGTAATCTCACCAGACCTCTGGGCGACAGGTGGTCTGACGGTGCATTTCGTTCCTCTTCCAAACGCTTGTACTCCCATTCTGGACATGGGCGGGAGGGGGGGGGGGGGCGGGAGCCGCCATAGGGCCCGCGATGGCCCACTGAGGCTCCAAGAGGGCCTCAGAGAGCTCAAGCTAGCCTCCAAGATCGACCAATATGCCCGAACAATTCTCAATATAGCTAACTATATGCACCCAACAGGCTTCAAGATGGCTACAGTACGAGTCTAAGTGTTCTCGCATACCCCTCAGGGCCCGCCCACTATTACAACATCCTTCAAACGCCCAACGAAAACGGTATGAATGTTGTAGTATCGCCGTTTCGTTCCCGATGCGCGTTGCGGGCCTCAATATCGCATCACGGTGGCCCAGGAAGGCCCCAAGTTGGGCCCAACACGCCCCCAAGACAGCTTCAAGAGCGCCCAATAATACCACAATAACGGCCCATTAGCGCACCAAGACGGTACCAAAAGAGCCACATGTTGGTTCCAATACGGCTTCCAACGCGCCGAAAGGCTCCGAATGGGGGGGAGCTGAGTTGCCCCCCCTCCCCATCATTGGCCCCAGAGAGCCTCCTGATCATTTTCATCGTTATCCTCAGTCTCCGCTTGCCCCTGCTCGCGCACGTCCTCCTCCTCTCGACAAGTTCGCGAATACGGAGGTGGTTCACTCATGGAATACGTGCTGCTACACATCCCGCATCAAGGTCGATCGACTGGCGGTCGCGCGTGCGTGTGCGTTGTATTGGGCTGCGGGGGGAACGCGAAGCGTGAATAACAATAGAGACGGGACAAAGCAATAGCGCGGTGGGGGGGAATGGATTGCGGAGGTGATGACGAGGATAATAAGGGTGAGTTCTGCATGGCCAATGGTCCAGCCCGAAATGGGGCTGCTGGTTCGCGCGGGTGACCTCGACGGGATACCTGCATAATTCGATCACACGTGCACCGCCTCTCAACCTGCAACGCAACCGAACCAATTGATGACCCGAGGGGTGTATTGGTAGCGGAGCGGGCATGCCGCACACTTTTTCGCAACGCCATGCGCAATGGTAGCAACGCATGTGTGCATGTGGGCGAACAACCACGGCGACTCTGCGTACAGTCGCCTCCCACCTACGTCGTCGCGCCTGGTGTGGCGACCCAGCCCCGGCAGCCCCACTGCGTGGACGGGGCAGCGCACTGCAAAACTCGTGCACGAGGCGACGCAGTACGATCCATCGCGTGACCGCGTGCCAAGTATACTGCAGCGCGGCTCTGATCCACTGGCCCCCCAGGGGGTTGTGCGCCGATTCCCTTACAATGATGTTCCTGCCTGAACGTAGCCAGCACAATCGCCATCTTCTGAACGCGGGAGGGAAAGTCTGGGCCTGGAGGCACTTTCATGCTCTTGGTGTGCCACTTGCCATTGGCGTAACACTGCGCCCTCACGCAGCTGCGGTGCTTTACCCAAGCCACGAAGGGGGTGGTGATGGTTGGCGCGACAGGGGGGCCTCCAGCCTCGCCGCTCGGCGAGCCTTCGGCGATCACCTTCATGTTCTCGCTGGTGAGGTGGACGCCAAGCGTGGCCCGATGGGACGCAGCCGTCAGCACCCACATCGCGTGAGACGAACCATCTTGGAGGTTCGCAGTGATCTCGCAGGCAGCGTCGATCTCATCGAGCATCTGCTTCCGAGGCCGCTTTGGGATATTCTCGGGGCTGCTGCTTGTAGCGCCTCCTGTTAGCGGGTCGCCCTGACGAGCCAAGCCAGCCATTAGGGCGTTCGTCGCTTGGTTCCGCAGCCAGGCGATCGTGTTGAGCATGTCCCAGTTGGCGTTGAGGGCATGCGCACACGTTGGGTTCGACCTGTCGATGTGCACGTAGTCGCGCCCACCACATGTCTCCACTTTCGCAACCCATGATGTTGTCGGCGACGAGTCGGGATCCGAGGAAATCAACACATACCCGCGTTGAATATACACCATGATTCAAGCGCTGCACTGACGCGCAAGTTCGCAAGTGCAAGTGCAACTCTATGGTCAACCGATTGAGCCAAACTGCTTACGGAGCGAACGGACCCCGCGTCAACCCAAACCCTTTGCAAGGGGTTCGGCCCTTGCAGCCCGATGGCCCGATATGACATACGGCTCGCTCTATGACCTGGCCCAGATACATCGGCGACGGGCGCCCGATAAATCAAAGCCCCAGCACAGTGCAACGCAACTGCAATCGTCGCAAGCGCTCTCGGACCATGATTGGAACGTCTTGGGGCCACCCTGGGTACCACAACCAGAGGCCCATGTATGCGTTTAAACGCACGTTGTTGCTACAGTGTACTTAGCCCCGCCCCCATATGTGCAATGCAACACCCAACGGCAACGCAGTGCACCTACATTTGACAGGCTCGGGTTTAAACCATTGGGTTCCAAATCATTCGGCCGCGTGGGGCTCGAGTGGAGGAACTGACGCACACTCTAGAACGATTGCCAGGATAATCGATAGAACGACTCGGAGCAAACGTCCGAACCACGGACGGTGCAGGGGGCGGTGGTGGCTTCAGCCCGAGAGGGGGGGAGGTGAGACGGACGGAGGATGATAGAGGACGGAACCATGAGGGATGCCCCCGACGGCGGATGGATCGTTCGGGAGCCGAACGGGCCACGCGGTGGCAGTGGCCAGAGCCACGCGGGCAGCTTGGGCCTTTTCTTTCGGGAGGCGAGCCGTTCCCAGGCACTTGTGGTCATATATAGAAGATGAAGAGGATGATGCTGCTGATGATGATGCTGATGATGAGGAGGAGGAGGATGATCAGGAAGAGGAGCATGGGGAGGAGGAGCAGCAGCAGCAGCAGCAGGAGCAGGAGGAGCAGGAGCAGGAGCAGGAGGAGCAGAAGCAGGAGCAGGGGGAGCAGGGGGATCAGGAGGAGCAGGATGAGGAGCCTCAGGAGCAGGAGCAGGAAGAGCAGGAGGATCAGGAAGAGCAGGAGGATCACGGGCTGGTGGACAGGGACAGCAGTGGCGGATCGCCAACGGGGAAGCAGGGACGGCTGGCGTTTCTGTCTTGCAGGCGTCGCCAACTGCGACAACTGAGCAGTGCACATTGGGAGCGAGCGGCGCTGCCAACGAAGCGATCCACTCGCCCGTTCCGCGACGGCTATCGTCGCGCGGAACTCAAGCCCGCCCACACGATGGCTTCTGGGGTGCAGTCGGCATTGTGTTTCTGGAGCTCTTGATGGCTTGCTTGATTGAGTGTTTGCTTGCTTGCTTGCTTGCGCGATTGCTTGCTTGCTTGATCCGAGCGTGCACCCCAGCGTGTGGGGAAAGAAAGGACAGACGGGGGGTCGTCGAATGCCTACGACTTCCCCTTCTTACCCTGCGGGGCTTCGCTCGAGGTGGCAAGCTGGGCTGCGCTTGCCGCTGGTGCTGCTGTCAGGCTCATGCAGCAGCACGGCCCCTGCCTTGACCGCCTTGGTGTTTAGCATCAAGGGAATGGTAAAGTGGTCCATCCGCGGGGACTCCTTTACAAACGAAAACCCAGTCATAGTGCTGTTCACATAGACCTTGGTTGGGCCCATGTTGGCACACGAACTGTCTGGTGCTGGCTGGACTGCCCAAAACGGTGGCACGAATGGGCGAGCGCCCAAACAATCAAGCTTGTAGCCTAAATACAATCCAACAGTGTTGCCCTTGGGGTCCGAAAAAGTATGCTCCAAATCCACTGCAGATTTGGGGAGGGATGCCGCTGCACTTACGACAGGCGTCATCGGCACCAGCATCAACTCACCCTTGCCGTAACTGCGGTTTGCAGTGACAGACTCTATTGTAATTCTCGATCCCGTCTTATTGTATGTGACTGTGAGATCCACGTTTTTCTGCAATTCTTCATATGCGCGGGCGAGGCCTACATGCGGGCGGGGGGGGGGGAAGACGGGCGAGGATGAGGGCGGGGGGGGGGGAAGACGGGCGAGGATGAGGATG